CCATTGGCGTTCCATGGGTGTAACCGTCACTCAATCCCCCCCTCCCCAATCTCAACATCCCGGGGGTGACCCATTGAGAGAGAATCGAACCATCCCCCCCCCCCTTTGTCGATGGTAACCCCCTTCATAGCTGTTGGGGTAGCCCCATTGGTTAATGGGGGGGGGGGGATGGTTAGATTCTCTCTCAATGGGTCACCCCCATGATGTTGAGATTGGGGAGGGGGGTGTTGGGGGATTCAGTTATGGTTACACCATCCAACGTCAATGGGGAGGTGGGTGGGCGATGGTCAAATTCTACCTCAGTCCCAGGGGGAGGGAGGAGTTTTCTGACCAAAGCCATACAGAGCGGGCCATTTGGCCCCTCACGCCGCCTCCTAGCCCCCCTTTTAAACGCGACGAAATGCCAAGAGAGACGGGGGGGGGGGGGTGGGGGGGGGGGGGGGGGGGGGGCACGTGCCCACTTACGTGCCAGCGTGATGTTAACGGGGTCGCTGTTCTCGGACGAGTAGGACCTCCCCGAGACCAGGGCCCAGTAGCTGCAGATGTAGGAACCCTGGTCCTGGGCGCCGAGCCTGGGGATGGTCAGGAGGCCAGAGGAGTTGGACGTGGGCCCCAGGGAGACGACGACGTCCTGGCTGCCCAGCTTGCGGAGGGAGAAAGTGATCCCGCTGTAGACGCTGGGAGCCGTGCAGCCTATCACGGCCGATTGGCCCTCCAGGTACTGCCCCGACTCTCGAAGCTGCGTGATGCTGGGCTTCTGCAACGTCTCTGCGCAGACGGAAAGGAATCGCATTGGCGGAAGAAGGAAAAAAAACCCCCCCTTACCTCCGAGCCCTCCCTGGCACACCGTTCGGCCCAAACCCGTCCCTGCTGCCCCCCAACCAAACATAAATGCGCCTGGCGCGCCCCTCCCAATCCCTCCGCACCTCTCCCAACCTCCCAAACCCCCTCCACTACCCATCCGAACGTCTCTCCAGTCACTCGCCCTCGCCCCGTTTCCGGACGCAAGCCCGCGGCTCCTCAACAAAACGTGTGAACCACCCCCACACCCACCCCACCAACCCCCCAAACATTTCCAGACCCTCACCCCTCTCCCCTTCCACCCACGTCCCCTGGTTTCGGACTCTCCTCCCGCAGAGTGGGAGACGGGGGCTGGAATTGAAGGATATCTACATTGTCCGCGCCTCTCCGGGTATGGATTCTATAGACCGTACACACATTCCAGATGCCCCCCACTCCCCTCACACCCCTATTGCCACAGACGGGAAAGGAAAAGCCCCCAAACTCTCTCTGGGAGGCAGCCTGG